GCCTATATAGAAGTCGTATGGAGGGCTATGGAATTCCGATAGAGGCCTATAGAATTCCTATGGAGGCGTATAGAATTCCGATGGGGGGCTGTAGAATTCGTAAGGAGGCCTATAGAATTCCTATGGGGGCCTATAGAGTTCCGACGGAGGCCTATAGAATTCCGATGGGGGCCTCTATAGGATTCGTATGGAGGGTTCTAGGATTCCGATGAAGGCCTACATAGAATTCCCATGGCTTGCTGTTTTTTCTCCAGAGCAAGACTGAGAGAAAGCGGTGCACAGCCCGGGCAACGATCGGTGCAGTGACTCGAGCAGCAGACGAAAACATATGGCCTTTTGAATTCAAGAAAAGGATTGGATAAAAAATACAAGAGGCGAAGAGGGAAGGGAGGGAGGGCGACTCGCTGGACTGAATATGATCCATAATGTTTACGGATCCACAAAATGCACAAGCCAACCCGATCGACGATCTCCAAGGCTTGCTGTTTTTTCTCCAGAGCAAGACTGAGAGAAAGCGGTGCACAGCCCGGGCAACGATCGGTGCAGTGACTCGAGCAGCAGACGAAAACATATGGCCAAAACCACGGCCAATTGCATTAGTGATCTGGTACTACCGCTAACATTTACAGAGATCCCACAGACGGGCGAGACGGACGGTGGAAGCGGCGTCTGACAGGACACGTGCGAGCTCGCGGCAGAGGGCCTTAGGATACGGTTGTGCCACGGAGGTCCAGAAGCGCCCTCCGGGCGCTTTTCCCTCCAGGACCTGGCGCCTGCACTGGGTACGCTCACAGACGCCGCGACCTCGGCACCTCTTGCCAAGCGATTGCCCTGAGACGTGCCAGAGACGCAACCTAGTTCGCTTCCGCCACGGCTCGCCCCACATACAGAAATCGGTAAAAACATCATGAACGCCTTTAAGCCTGAGAAGGCTCTGTACGGGAGGGCACTCCCACAGACGAGAAAACCCTGGATTTTCCAGGCCACCAGGGATCCCTTTCTGGTGAGCGAGCCTAGCGAGGACGACAGACACGCGCATTAGCATATTACCAATTCGAACCTTGGCCTGATCGGGTTCAGACAAGTTAGGGAGACCGAGGGGGAACTCTTTTGAACGCAAAGGCCCGGGGCCTGTCTTAGTGAGGCGCCTGGCAAGTGAAAACGACGTGCACGGAGTGCCAAGCCACAAGATCAGAACCTCACCACTGAGAATCCAGCCCTTCAGAGTCTCGACGGCCGCGCGGTTGGTGAGGTCAAACATGGGACTTCGAACGATGTCCCACTCCAGGACGGCGAGGCCGCGGGCTCGGAGCGCGGCGGCAAGCCGCCCGGAGCCTGAGAAGACTTCCACCGCGACCCTCTCGCGCCCAAGCCTGACCCGGCCGAGCGCAGCGCAGAGGCGTTCGCGAACAGGTCGGCCAACCTCTGCTCGCTGAGGCGCAGGTGCCGCTGTACAGAGGCGGGCACCCGCGCGACCTGTAGCGCCAGCCGGCCGTGCTTCTCGTACCGCCTCACCGACAGGCGCGCGCGCCACCGGCCGCGCTTGGCGACCTCCTCCAAGGACCGCCGGTTGACGATCCTGTCGTGGCTCGCGCCTCCGTGCCGGAGGCTGTACAGCGTCGCCCCCAGGTGGTGGAGCCCGAGCGCCGCTAGCGCGCCCTCGAACTCGGCGCGCAGCTGCACGTAGTCGAAACTCCAGAGCGGCTCGTGGGGCTTGACCGTCGCACGCAGCTCGAGAAGGAGCGGCGTGAGCCACTGCAGCTCTGGCACGTCCAGCGGCAGGGAGTCGTCCAGCTCCCCCGTCTTGCTCGGGATCTGAAGCTCCTCTGGGTGCAGCAGCAGCGTCCACCAGCGGAAGCCACCGCCGAGACCCGGCGCCGGGGGCACCAGCTGGAAGCCCCGCATCGCCAGCAGCTCTCCTGGTCGAAGGTAACAGTGGAACATCAGGGCCAGCGCGCACGCCATGAACCGAAGCCTGCGCATGAGGAGGATCTCCAGCACTCCACACAGCACTATCCACGGCAGCGGAGGACGGGACTGGCCGGGCTGCCGCCGCTTCCAGCCCAGCAGAGCCCGGCTGCACCTGGGAAGGACCACTCGTAGCGGCCGCCCCAGCCCGGGCCGGGCCCACAGGAGGGCCGACAGCAGCTTGGCAGCCCCGTGCGGCCTCGCACCCGCCTCGAACTCGTCGTGCAGGTACTGCAGCAGCGCATCGTCCCACTCCGGCGCACTCCAGGTCGGCAGACGCGCCAGGCCCAGCCAGGTGCAAAGGCCATGCAGGAATCGGAGGTAGGTCTGCTGGGTCGTGGGCCTCACCGACTCCAGCTCGAGGCCCGAAACACTCGAGCCCAGGAGGCGGTGCCAGGGCAGCGCCGTGCGACGCGCTGCACCGGCCTGCGGGCGTCCGCGCCGCCTCGACTGACCGCGGCCGCGCTCGAGGGGCCGCTGGCGAGGCAGCTCGCCTGCCGCGGCCGGGGGACACCGCCTCGGGCTCCGGCTCCGCCCTCGCGTCTCCCCCACCAGCCGACGAGGCGCGGTCGGGGACGGGGTCGCTGGCGGGGACCGCCCGGGAGTCAGCAGCCAAGGCGTCTCCATCCGCTGAGGGCTCGCCTGGGGCGCCCCGTCGAGACCCTGCCGTCGAAGAGGGGCTGCCAGGAGCGTCGCCAGGGCCGCCCGAAAGGGCGCTCGGCCCCGCCGCGGCGGGCGGCTGCGGCTCAGAGGCGGCGGGCCTACGTGGCGCGCGACCTGGCCGCGGGGGCTCGAACCGCCTGGACGGCTCGTCGGCAGGATTCCACTCGGAGGGGATCCATCTCACGGCCACGCGACAAGACGATGCGAGCTGGAGAGCAGCGAGGTGACGAAGCTGAGAGAGAACATGGAAGTCAGATGCCCGCCCTTTTGCAACAGCACAGCTGAAACACATGCTGTCGGACAGAAACAGGAGCCGACTGCCGTGGTGTGCCACCCGCCGTACCTGTCTTCTCATTGCCCACAGCAGCGCCTCACCCTCCAGAAGGTGTATTGGTGCTCTCCGACGCCACCTCCGCGATGCTACCGTCCTCCAGTCCGTCGACTTGCAGAGGCTGGCAGGCACGTCAGGGAAGGACGAGTCAACAGGCGCACCTTCTCTCAAGGCACGAGCCCGGGACCCCTCGGCCACCAGCTCCTCCTCCTTGAAACGCCAGCGCTCCCGCACGCGCCCGACGGAGCCGACGACGTCCGGGCTGACGGTCCTCTCGACCACTCCGAACCCGGTCATCGACGCGTCCACGGCCGTCACAGTGGGTGCCCAGGCACCGCGCAGGTCGGCCCAGACCAGCGGCAGCAGGGAGCGCAGCCAGCCGAGCTCCTTGAGGACAGAGGGCCACAACCGCACCCGCCTGTCGTAGCACTTGCTAATGAAGACGTAGCAGGCGTTCAGCAAGCTGAGCAGCTCACGCCTCAGAAGCAGCACGTGCGTCACGTGGCCCACCAGCCGCTCCAGCTCCGCTCCGGTCAGCATCGGGTGCCCTGCAATGTGCTCGAGGGCGAGGACCAGCCGCCAGAACCGCAAGGGCGCGATGTGCACGGCTCCTTTCCGCCCGTCGACGCGGAACCCAAGCAGGTCGACCTCCAGCTGCGGCCCGGACACCGCATGAGTCGAGAGACCAAGGCCCCTCAGGCTCGCCTCCATCGCGTCGCCATCCCGCGCGACCGCCGCCTTGTCGGTGCCAAGCGCCGCGAAGTTGTCAATGTACAAGAGCGCGGCCGGCTCACGCGCGGCGACAGACGGCGCGCAGCGGCGGTTGCACAGCCAGCGGCGTGCGCCCCACGGGCCGGTCTTCAGCTGCTCCGCGTTGGCGGCCTGCACCAGCGCAACGGCCCAGCTCCAGCCCATCGGCACGACGCGCACCTGGAAGTGCACGCTCTGCGCATCCCGAGGAAAGCGCTCCCTCAGCCTGGCCGGCAGGAGCCGCTTCGGGACGGCCGGCAGCACAAAGTCGGCCCGGAGGTCGGCGGGCAGGAGGAACTGGTAGTAGCAGTTCTCGACGTCACCCTCGGACACCCACAGCTGCTGCCCCGCGGGGAGCTCCAGGTCCCCGAGGGCCTCGGGCGAGGCCAAAGCCACGCGATCAGGTGGCAGAAAACGTGCATTCGTCATTCTAGGATCGAAGATGACCCTCAGCGAGCCGTCCTTCTTGCGAACGAAAAAGACTCCAACAAAACTGCGAACCTCGGTCGCGGGCTCCACGACTCCGGAGTCAAAGGCACTGGTCAAAAACTCGGCGAACTTGCCCGGCGACCGCGACAGGATCGGGTCCATGGCCGGGCCAAAGGAGCTCGCCTCTGCTGCACGCTCCTCCGCACACGTCGCTGGCAGCCGAAGGGCACGGCCACTGGCCTCCAGCAACTTCTGGTAGTGGTCGGGCAGGCAGTCGACGAGATCGATCGCCTCCGCGCCGACCGCCGGCAGAGCAAGCCTGCCGCGCTGGTAGGTCGCAAACTCTCCGGCGACTACGCCTCCACAGGCATAGCCGGAGCCGCTACCCCGGAGCGCACTCCACGCTCCCGAGGCGGTGAGGTCGGCAGGCGGACCTGGAACAGAGTGATAGGCCCGGGCCAAGGTGGCCAAAGCCTGGCGCTGGATCGCGCCCGGCAGCACTTTGGGGTCCCAGCTCTCTCCACGCCCTCCCAGAGTGTTGAGCGTCGCGATGCCCTGCTGCAGCCACGCCTCTGCGTTCCGCCGACGAGCCCGCCGCCGATCCGCGCAGCGCGACGCCCCCAGCACCGCCGGCGACATGCCCTCCAGGAGAGCCGCGAGGCAGCGTCCCGTGGGCAGCGGCAGCAGGTCGCGAGCCCACTCGTGGACCTCACCTGAATCACCGAGGCCGCTCGCCATCCTCCACAAGCGAGCCGCCCTCCCCTGCAAAAACGGGCGGCGGTCGGGGGGCCCGCCGCCCTGAGTCAGGTCAATTGCCACCTCCCCCCGGGCCGCCCTTCTTTGGCGACCTCCTGGGGGGCCTGTTCTTGTCGTCATCCGCGCCGCGGCCGCCCGCGGAAGCGACCTCGGTGGAACGAGCCAGCTGCCGCTCCTCCATCGCCTTGCGCCGCTCCTTCAGCACCGCGCTCTCCTCGGCCAGCCTCTGGGATACCCACGACTCCAGAGCGGGCGCGACGAGCGCCCGGCCGTGGCGACGCTCCTCGCCCATGAACAGGCGGTCGTTGTCCAAGTGGGCTCCGTCGCCACCAGCGGTCGCCTCCACCAGCATGCGCGCGTACTTCTCCTCCAGAAGCTGGTAGCGGCGCCCCGCGAGCTCAAGCGACGCGAGCTCTCCGAAATTCAGCTGGTCGTACGTCAGGGCGTACTCGAAGAGCCGACTGAGCGCCTCGTGCTCCCCCACTCCCCAGTCGGAGGGACCGAGGCTGAGAAGCTGGCGCCACCAGTAGTGACGTCTCACGGGAGTCAACTCCTGGCGGGCGATCTCCCGAGCAAGCCACTCCGCCGTCCGTGGCCCGCTGATCGGCCAATCCTCGAAGTTCGTCGTCGTAGTCAGCGCCGCGGCCTCCTTGTACGAGCGGTGCCGGGACTCGGCTGTCTCGTACTTGACGGGAAGGGTCCTGAGCTCCCCTGGAGAATCGGCAGGCCCGCCGTCGCCACGAGGGGTAGGCATCTGCTCGCCGGCCTTGAAGAAGCGGCACGAGACGGGGACGCCCTCGGACTTGACAATGCCTCTGTCCCCCACGCAGACGCCCAACTCCAGGAGACCAGCTGGCACGCGCTCGCCCAGGCAGGCCCCGCCGCGAGACTCCATGAAGCGCCACTCGCCTTCGCCCAGGTCAGGGGCGCCCCCTGCGCCCAGCGCCGGCGGCGCCTCGAGCGGGGGGGGCAGAGGAGGCGGCGCACCCGCAGCGAGTCCAGCACGCTCGGCCACGGCAAGCTCCTCGCCTTCCGCCTGCAGGCGGCCGCTCTCCGCCTTGCTGAGGGGGCCCTGCGTCGAGTCGCGGAACAAGTACGTGGGCCCCCGCGACCACCCGACAGGAAGGCCGCCCATCGGGCCAAGCGGAACCATGCCCTCGATACCACCCTCCAGATCCTCGAGGTAGATGTCTCGGTCGGGCGTCGCCACGATCCAGTCGTTCGCCCGCACGTGAGCGCACAAGAGGCGCTCATGCCATAGCAGCTCGCTGGGGTCCGGGTCGTAGAAGACGAGCACCCGCTGCCCCGGCCGCAGGTAGTCGGCCATCCTGAAGCTCTAGCTTTGCCACCTGCTCGGCGACCGACGGGCGAGATGCCTGCCAGGCGCGTCGAGACTGGCGCTGCGACCAGGCCCAGATGCCTCCAGCCGAGACGACCGCTCCCGCGAAGAAGGCGAGGAGCGAGGCGAGGAAGACCACGCTCCCTGGGTGGCCGGAGCACTCCGGCACAGGGCACGGCGCCGGCACCGTGAGGTTCGCCGGTCCGCACCGCTGGAGCTGCCCCTCGAGCAGCCTGATCAGGTCCTTGTCGGACGAACAGACCTCGCCCAGGTCCACGTGGCAGGTACAGTGCTGGCCGTACCAGGCGGCGCCGAGATGAGCGAGGCCCCCCACCGCGCCGGCGGCGCGACTCGCCCACTCCATGGGGGGGCGAACTCCCGACTCGCTGGACTGAATATGATCCATAATGTTTACGGATCCACAAAATGCACAAGCCAACCCGATCGACGATCTCCAAGGAGGCCTAAAGAATTCCTTCGGGGGCCTATAGAATTCCGATGGACGCCTATAGAATGTGTATGGGCGCCTATAGCATTCCTATGGAGGCCTACAGAACTCCTATGGAGGCCTATGGAATTCGTATGGCGGCCAATAGAATTCCTATGGGGACCTTTATAGAATTCCTAGGGGTGCCTATAGAATTCCGATGGAGGCCTATAGAATTCCTACGGAGGCATATATAATTCCTATGGAGGCCGATAAAATTCCTATGGGGGGTTATATGGACTTCCTACGGAGGCCTATCGAATTGTTACGGAGGCCTATAGAATTCCTATGGAGGCCGATAAAAGTCCTATGGAGGGTTATATAGAATTCCTATGGAGGCATATAGAATTCCTATGGAGTCCAATCGAATTCCTATGGAGGCCTATAGAATTCCCATGGGGGCCTGTAGAATTCCTTTGGAGGCCTATAGAATTCCGATGGGGGCCTATAGAATTCCTAGAGCGGTCGATAGAATTCCTATGGAAGCCTATAGAATTCCTAGGAGCTCCTATTAGGGAATCCTTGGCGCCCCCAGGAGACCCCCATAGAGGGTTGCTCGGTTGCTCGGTTGCTGGGGGGGGCGGCAGGGGCGCCCACGCGCGCCTTTCCCAACAACAACAACAACAACAACAACAACAACAACAACAACAACAACAACAACAACAACGACAACAACAACAACAACAACAACAACAACAACAACAACAACAACAACAACAACAACAACAACAACAACAACAACAACAACAACAACAACGACGACAAACGTTTTACCCGAATGCTCAATCACTCTACATGCCACATGCATCCATCATGACATCTCCCCCTAATGTGGGCTGTGCTACTGCACAAGGGAATCCGAATTTAGCCCAGCTGCCACATCTTCTTCGCAATCGCCTTGCCCATGCCTTGATTCCGGGAGAGGCCCCACAAACTTTGGGAGAGCCCGCGGAGCACCTTGGACAACCCCTGGAACGCTTCAAAGCCCCCCGTGGAAACTTTGAGGGCCCCTTGCAGACGCTTCAAAGCTGAAACGGAGAGCTTCGGGGCCTCTTAAAAGAGGCCTCAGGGCATTTTTTGGACAGGCCTGGATGGGAGGAGCTTCTGGGCTTCGGCGAGAGGAGGAAGACGAGGAGAGAGCAGGAGAAGGAGAAGGATGGATGAGGGAAGGAGGAGGAGGAGGAGAGTACCACCACCGTGCCTGGGTTGTGGGAAGAGGCTCGTTGGATGCATGTTCGGTATCTTGGGAATCCTCTGGGGAGCTCCTTGTAATCGGCGTTGAAGCCTCTTTGGCCTTCGAGGCGACGTTTAGGGGCCTCGTTGAGTTAAGTTAGATCGTTATTGGGGCATCCTGGGGGCTTCTTGGGGACCTGCTGCAACTCTCCCGGGCCCCCTTGTGGCGGAGAGCTCGAAATGTGAGTTCGAATCCTCTTTTGTGGCCGTCTTGGGCGCCTCGTGGGCCGCCTTCAACCTCTCTTGGGCAGCCTTGATGCCTCATGAGGGGCCTATTTGGCAGCCTTGATCGAGGCAGTCTTGGAGGAGCAGTTGGGCCGCCTTGGAGCTGTGAAGACCTAAATGGTGAATGTTCTAAAAAAAAAAAAAATGTTTGGGCTGATTTGGGCGTCTAGATGCCCTCTTCGGGGACTCTTGGAGCTCTCTTGGGCCTTCTGGGGAGCCTGTTGACCGTCTGAGAATCATCGTGAGCGGTCTTGGTGTGCTCTTGGGGCGCACTCGGGTCGTCTCGTCTTGGAGGCCTCTGAGGCTGCCTGGAAGCCATCATGGGTGTGTGTTTGTGTTGCAAGAAGATTTGAGCGGAGGGTAGTTGCTCTCAGAATAGCTTCTACCATCCCGTTCAGCAAGCTGTTAAAAGCACATACTGCGGAGGCTGCAGGCCTTCGATCAGAAGAACCCCGATGGCTCAAACCACACGGGATGACTGAGAAGAGTCCCGATGATTCCGACCAGAGGAGGAAGTAGGAGCGGGGGCTCGAGCGGAAGGCCAAGCGAGATCAAGCGAGCGCTCAACGAGAGGGCACGGCTGCCCGTGCACGAAGAGGCAAGCCCATGCTTGCTGCTCCTGAATGGTCGAGTCCCTCCCCCACATGCTGCCACCAGGGATGCAGCCATACAGGGAGGAGCACTGTTCAGAGGCCCTTGGCCATGCAGAAACCTCCATGGCAAATGCATCACATAGAGCCACACGCGGCCGAAGGCAAGATTCAAACACTTACTCATGGGAGGCGCAATTCGCCTTTCACACCCGCACTACGCTTCCAATCTTAGACCAGCATGGCGAATCGATAGGGAAAACCGTGCATCATCACAAGGCATATGCGTCCAAATTCATTATTCTCATCCTGCTCTGGCTGATTCCGGATTCCTGATGCCCGATGGCGAAAAGAAACCTCGATTGTCGCCCTCCGCCCCCCCCAAGGCTGGTCGTCCCTGGAGGTTTTGATCAAACGAAAGCCAGGTGACACCTGGAGCACCGCTCCAGGGAAAACGGGGGAAGCAGGCAGACAGACAGTCCAGAGGAGGATGGAAGGAGTGAGGAAGAAGGCCTCAGGAAAGAGGGCAGAAAGTAGTCAAGGCTTGCAGCGCCAGCTAATTACTCCGCGGGCTGCAGAAGACGAAACGGCACTCTGAGAATTTACGCAGTGCCGACGCGGAGGGTGTCAATCCCCGCCGCAGGCTTTAAACCACGGCGCGCGGGAAACCCTGCGCCCCGCGCAGACTGACGCGGCACAATGTCTCCAGTTGTCTACTGAGTGGCAGAACACGCTCGATGTCCCGTGCGCTACCAGCGGATTCCTGATGCCCGATCAACAATCTCGATTGTCGCCCTTCCCCCCCCCAAGGCTGGTCGTCCCTGGAGGTTTTGATCAAACGAAAGCCAGGTGACACCTGGAGCACCGCTCCAGGGAAAACGGGGGAGGCAGACAGACAGACAGTCCAGAGGAGGATGGGAGGAGTGAGGAAGAAGGCCTCAGGAAAGGGGGCAGAAATTAGACAAGGCTTGCAGCGACAGCTAACTACTCCGCGGGCTGCAGAAGACGAAACGGCAATCTGAGAATTTACGCAGTGACGACGCGCAGGGTGCAGGGTCAATCCCCGCCGCAGGTTTTAAGCCACGGCGCGCGGGAACCCCTACGCCCCGCGCAGACTGACTGGCGCGCGGGGGCAGAAAGGTGCCCCCTGACTCAACCCAAACAGAACCGTTTTTGTGTCGTTCCGTTTTTGTTTCGGTCCGCGAAATCGGACAAACGCTGACTAGCTCGAGCCTTGTGCTGCTGATCATCGATAGACGAGCCCACGCCACATCGCTCGGCTCCAATGTCACAGGACAATCCAAAAAGAGGCAAATGCCGGCCGGACGAAAATTCCTGGAGGCGTGCCTACAGTCCGCGTGCCGTGCGAGTCTTCGGACACCATCTGCCTGTCTATGAGTTTCTTCATCCGACGCTGCATCCGGCGCCGCTGCGTCCGATTCGGCGAATCGAACGCCAGAGACGGGCGGTCCGGGCCGCCGCCGCTGCTCGTGTCCTCCACCGGGAAGGAGGGCCATGGGATCTCCGCCTCGCGCCAAGCGCCAAGCGGGGTCTGCTCATCGAGCGGGGCACTGGCCCGTACCAGGCCCTCGGGCCACGGGATCTCCTCGCAGGGCGGGACGGGCGCCCTGACCGGGTTCCGCTGCCACCCGCCCTCGATGCTCCTCGTGGCCACGGCGCAGGTGTCGAAGCTCTTCCGCGTCACGACAGCGGAGGCACACGCCTGCCTGGAAAGCATGGCGTCTGCTAAAGGCGGACCGCTGAAGGCGGCCAGGGGTGTAGGGGGGAACGCAGCACCAGGGATCGAGCGCTGGAGCGTCATGGCCCGAGCCAAGATGGTTACGGCAAAGCCATCATGGGTGTCTACAGACATACACACATACATACACGACTGCATCGAGATGTATATATACACGTATGTATGTATGCATGTATGTGTATGTATGTATGTATAGTGCATGAGTGTATGTTGGTTTGTCTATTCATGCACGTATACATATACACATACACATACACACACGTATGCCCATACATAGAAATACACATATACAGTTCAACACATGCACACACAAATATGTATACAAATACGAATCATACAGGAGCATTCATACACAGTTACATATACGCATGCGCATACGCACGTACATACATATATGCATATAGTTTTGCGTGTGCACACACCTAAGCCTATACGTGCACATGCACACATAAAAACCGTATGCAACTGTATATACGAACGTGTGCACGTAATCCCACGCACGATATATATATATATATATATATATACATATGTGTATACATATATATATATATATATATATGTACATGAACATGCGAATACACGGATGCAACTTTAGTCTGGCGAAAAAACGGAAATGTATGCAATGGCGAATGCCGCAAATGTGGGTATCGTTTTCCGTGGAGCTCCCTCTGGGGCCACGAAGCGCTGTACTGGGCGAGGGAACCGCATGCGGACTGCGCCACTGGGACCTTCGGTGGAGCTCCCCCTGGGGCCACGAAGCGCTTCACTGCGCGGGTGAACCGCACGCAGACTGCGCCACTGGGGCTTTCGGTGGAGCTTCATATATGGGGCAACGAATCGTTGCACTGGGCGGGGGGATGCGCATGCGGGCTGCGCCATTGGGACCTTCGGTGGGGTTGCCTCCGGGGCCACGAATCGCTGTTCTGGGTGTGGTCCCACACGCGGACTGCGCCACTGGGATCTTCGGTGGGAGCCCCTCTGCGGCCACGGAACGCTGTACTGGGCGGGTGGACCGCATGCGGACTGCGCCACTGGGACTTTCGGTGGAGCTCCCTCCTGGGGCCAAGAATCGCTGTACTGGGTGTGGTTTCCGCATGCGGACTGCACCAGTGGGGCCTTCGATGGAGTTCCCTCTCCCTCTGGGGCTACGAAGCGGTGTAGTGGGCGGGGGAGACGCATGCGGACTGCGCCACTGGGACTTTCGGTGGAGCTCCCTCTGGGGCCACGAAGCGCCGTACTACGGAGGAGGGAGGAGAGGAGAGGGGAGGAGGACTTTAAAAGAGGCTGGGCAAAAGGTGAGAAATAGCGAGCGTTTGTCCGCGGCCGTTTGTCCTCAAGCGGCTGGCGGCCGACATATGACTGCACCTCATCGCGAGGCGGCCCATTTGCCACTGAGACCGGAAACATATTCGCTTGGCATGGTTCGTCGCTCCCTCGTCTCTCTCCCGCTCTTGGGACTATCGCTACTACAATATAACACAATTGGATACGGGCACCTTCTTAGGCGAAGCATCTGGTCGTTTCTCAGACCCCTTTTCAAACTTGGTAGCGGAGCGGTCCTTTGGAGGACACCTATCGCTTGACTCCTCACTATCCTCGGCACTATTTGGTGGACTATTGACATGGTGGAACATGAGAGTGCAGTGGCTCTGCGCGGAAGAATGTACAAACATACGCACAATCGCAAGGACACTTGCAATACAATCTCTTTTCACGCGCAGGTGCCTTGCATGAGTCCTACCTCCCCCCCCCAAGGCTGGTCGTCCCTGGAGGTTTTGATCAAACGAAAGCCACGTGACACCTGGAGCACCGCTCCAGGGAAAACGGGGGAAGCAGGCAGACAGACAGTCCAGAGGAGGATGGGAGGAGTGAAGAAGAAGGCCTCAGGAAAGAGGGCAGAAAGTAGTCAAGGCTTGCAGCGCCAGCTAACTACTCCGCGGGCTGCAGAAGACGAAACGGCACTCTGAGAATTTACGCAGTGCCGACGCGGAGGGTGTCAATCCCCGCTGCAAGCTTTAAACCACGGCGCGCGGGAAACCCTGCGCCCCGCGCAGACTGACGCGGCACAATGTCTCCAGTTGTCTACTGAGTGGCAGAACACGCTCGATGTCCCGTGCGCTACCAGCGGATTCCTGATGCCCGATCAACAATCTCGATTGTCGCCCTTCCCCCCCCCAAGGCTGGTCGTCCCTGGAGGTTTTGATCAAACGAAAGCCAGGTGACACCTGGAGCACCGCTCCAGGGAAAACGGCCGCTGGGGCCTTCGGTGGGGCTCCCTATGGGGCCACGAAACGTGTGAGGGGTGTGCCGAATTAGGTGGGTGTGGGTGACGCATGTGAGCGCCGCCACTGGGGCCTCCGGTGGATGATGGGGCCACGAAGCCTGTGAGGGATGTGCCGAAAAGGGCGTGCGGGACGCATGCGCATGTGAGCGCCGCCGCTGGGGCCTTCGGTGGAGCTCCCTATGGGGCCACGAAACGTGTGAGGGGTGTGCCGAATTTTGTGTGCGTGACGCATGCGGGCGGCAGCACTGGGGCCTTCGGTGGAGCTTCCTATGGTGCCACGAAACGTGTGAGGGGTGTGCCGAATGCGGCGTGCGGGACGCATGCGGGCGGCAGCACTGGGGCCTTCGGTGGGGCTCCCTATGGGGCCACGAAGCCTGTGAGGGGTGTGCCGAAGTGGGTGTGAGGGACGCATGCGGGCGGCAGCACTGGGGCCGTCGGTGGAGCTCCCTATGCGGCCACGAAACGTGTGAGGGGTGTGCCGAATTTTGTGTGCGTGACGCATGCGGGCGGCAGCACTGGGGCCTTCGGTGGGGCTTCCTATGGGGCCACGAAACGTGTGAGGGGTGTGCCGAATTGGGTGTGCTGACGCATGCGGGCGGCAGCATGGGGCCGTTCGGTGGAGCTTCCCTATGGGGCCACGAAAGGTGTGAGGGGTGTGCCGAATTGGGTGTGCGTGACGCATGCGGGCGGCAGCACTGGGGCCTTCGGCGGAGCTCCCTGGGGCCACGAAAGTGTGAGGGGGTTGTGCCGACTTGGGTGTGCGGGACGCATGCGGGCTGGCAGGCGGCTTCGGTGGGGCTCCTTATGGGCCACGAAAGTGTGAGGGTGTGTGTCGAATGGGTGTGCGCGACGCATGCGGCGCCAGGCAGCACTTCGGTAGGGTTCCCTATCTACGAAACGTGTGAGGGGTGTGCCGAATTGGGTGTGCGTGACGCATGCGGGCGGCAGCACTGGGGCCTTCGGCGGAGCTCCCTATGGGGCCACGAAACGTGTGAGGGGTGTGCCGAATTGGGTGTGCGTGACGCATGCGGGCGGCAGCACTGGGGCCTTCGGCGGAGCTCCCTATGGGGCCACGAAACGTGTGAGTGGTGTGCCGAATTGGGTGTGCGTGACGCATGCGGGCGGCAGCACTGGGGCCTTCGGTGGGGTTCCCTATGGGGCCACGAAACGTGTGAGGGGTGCGCCAAAATGGATGATGGTGACGATGATGATGGTGTGAGGAGGGAGGAGGGAGGAGGGGGAAAAGGAGCGGGAGCGGGAGCGGGAGCGGGCGCTGTCTCTTCAAAACGAGGACCCAACACCACAGGATGGTTGGGAAAAAAAACTGGAACTCCCTTGGACTCCCTTACGGACCTTGACGTGGTCCTATGGGTGGAAAACGTATGCGCGCCGGCGTGGCGCCGCTTCAATACGTATCCGATACAGACTGTATGGGATCCTATACAGATCCGATACAGACTGGATAGGATCCTATACAAATCCGATACAAACTGTACAGGATCCTATACAGATCCGATACAGACTGTACAGGATCCTACACAGATCCGATACAGACTGTATGGGATCCTGTAGAGATCCGATACAGACTGCATGGGATCCTGAACAGATCCGATACAGCCTATATGGGATCCTATACAGATCCGATACAGACTGTATGGGATCCTGCAAAGATCAGATACACACTGTAAAAGATCCTATACAGATCCGATACAGACTGTATGAGATCCTATACATATTCGATACAAACTGTACAGGATCCTATACAGATCCGGTACAGACTGTATGGGATCCTGTACAGATCCGATACAGACTGGATAGGATCCTACACAGATCCAATACTGATTGTATGGAATCCTGTAGAGATCCGATACAGACTGTATAGGATCCTATAAGAGATCCGATACAGACTGTATGGGATCCTGTAAGGATCCGAAACAGACTGTACAGGATCCTATACATATCCGATACAGACTGTATGGGATCCTATACAGATCCGATACAGACTGTATGGGATCCTACACAAATCCGATACAAACTGTATGGGATCCTGTAGAGATCCGAAACAGACTGTATAGGATCCTTTACAGATCCGATACAGACTGTATGGGATCCTATACAGATCCGATACAGACTGTATGGGATCCTATACAGATCCGATACAGACTGCATGGGATCCTGTAGAG